CTTTCCTGCCTATGCAGGGGGTCGGACTCGATGATCTATTGAGGTCCCTTCCGACCCTAACATCTATGAATCTATGAAACTGGATGCGAGCAGGGAAGTCACCATGGACCCAGGAGAGATTAGTTTCCTACTCTTGTTTCCAAAGTCCAACTGTTACAGTGGTCTTGTGCAATGGGTAGCAGTAGTTTCATGGAATACTTCACTACCATAACCTCTTTCTGAAACATCTTCCGTAGGGATGTTGCATGCACAGTCTAATCAGCACCGGTTTCTGGAGCGCTCTCAGTTGCAGGGAGAGTGGCAGAGATGCATTCTGGTCATACGAAGGGGCTATACATAGATGTAGCATGTCCTATTGCTCTGCAGTGATGGCTGGGGTGTGGTCTAATCAGCACAGGAAGCTGAGAGACTGGAATATGCTTAAGGATGAGGGACTGTTCAGAGATTTTAGCTGCTGAACTGAAAAAGTTTCTACTCTATGGGTTTTCAGAGGCTTTATAACTTGGCCAAATCTAAGCATATTGAGACAGAAGGCAAAAGGCACATTCCCAATAAAAAAGAAATCATCTACCAATTTTCAAGACATATTGCAAACATTTCTTAGTGAGAATGTTGCCATATTTTCTTTTTAACATGGGCAAAACAACCTGTATTTTCCCTAATCACATTCTGAAAAATGGCTGGATGATTTGGATTGAAATTTGTCTCCTGCCCCCATTCCCTCCCTGTAAAAAGGAAACAATTCAGCCAAGCAAGGCACTCAGCATGAAAAATCTCAGACTGAATTATGAAGTTTGCCAAAGTTATAAGCCACTGACAGTAGATTCTTATATTGGGAAGTATTGGGAAACCTTACTCATTGGTAGTATTACCAGCCCTGCCTATAATAAAGGACTGATTCATATTTAATGTAATGTTAGCATTACAAATTGACCTTCTAGTCCTGCAAGATGTGCCATTTGGGAGAACTGCAGCCCCCACATGGAACATGCATTCACAGAGGGAACAGTTTACATGAATTGTCCTCCTTCTTGTCTCATGACCTAAAGTTTATCGTAACTAGTTACTCACTGAACTTACATTGTTTAAATGCTCAGGGTTGACAAGAATAATTTCTGTGGTGTTATTGGTTATATACAGTAATTAGAAGATCGTTTTGGGATATCTAGAGCTACCTTGAAAAAGGGAATGAATTAAAAACAAATAGCAAATATTGTCAATTATAATATTGACAGTATTTGCTATACAAATACAATATAGCAATACAAACATCCAGCAATAAAATACATTTTAAAACTATTTCTAAATTACCTTGTTGTAGCAGAAAGAGATGGAGAAATGCTAAGCAAAATTAATTGTTAAATCATCAATTGTATAATGCAGTACATAATTTACAGTGAAGGGAATACAAACACTTCTTGGCTGTCTGGGAGGTAACTTTTAAGAAAAAACTCTTTATTGCTGGGATACAGTGAACTATGCCCTCCCACAAGGAAATATAAAATTCTATTGTATATATCCTCCATAGCAACTGTGCATTGGCAAGTGACAGGACTCAAGGGAGCTTGTTATTTGAATCTCTTTTTCCTAAAAGAGAAAATTGAATTATATAAAACAGCTGATGAGCTGTAATGAAATGAAAACCTCAGCAGGCGGTGGAGGGAATGGGGAGAGATGAGGTGCCTCCAGGGTGCTGGACTGTCAGCTAGGTTTGTGCGAGAGTTGCCATAGCAACTGAAAAAACTCGGCAAGCTCAAGAAGACAGCTGAAAAACCTGCTGAGAGTGAGCAAGTCATTCTCCCAGCACCCAGTGTCCAAGACTTCTAGGATCTACAACTGTGCTTGTAGTAGGAGCTTTTTTCCTCCCTTCTCACAGAAAGGGTGAGTTTCTAACTCTGATAATTGAAATTGTGAGCAAAAATAATGACACAAGTCAGAAATAAACACTCTCAGGATAGTTGTTCATATTAATAGGCAGGTAGAGAACAGCTTACTGTTTCAGTAGCAGATTATGGCTAGCTTGGATCTAAGTCTCAATTTTAATTGAGTTCCCACAGAACTTTTTATGGGAAACCAATTTGTTGTTTTGCTTACTGCTAATCAAAAGCTCTCTGAACTATAGGGTTGGATGTTATCAAGCAAAAAGACTTGCAGTAAGTGTTCAGCATCTTTTAGTGTTATAAAGGGCAATTTACATACCAACCATTCAACTGCCAATCGTTTTCTGTTTCATTGTCTTAGATTACTTTGTTGCTGCAGATGGAGGAGACTGGGGGAGCTAGTGGGCTTAGCTCCCTGACCCCCCACTCTGTACAAGGAGAAGTAGTACCAGAGGCAAAAGGGACCCTAGCTCCCTCCAAACCAGACACTGAACTTCTCTGTCCACCTCTCATCACTCTAAATAAAGGTAAGGAAAAATGTTTGAACTTAATACTATG